GTTTTTGATATACTTGTATATAAGTACAAAAGGGTCAAAGTTTATTCAACGTTAGCACGAATCCAAGATAAAAAATAAAAAGATGTTCAAAACTTTTGAATGTGGAGTTATCTTTTCTGCGTTAAATACTGAATCTACCGGAGTTCTTTTTAGCCTCGATAAATTCATAAGGTCAGTTTTTGTAGCATGGAGGTCAATGYATGAATGGTGTCTACATCAAATGCACATTACTTGGCATAGCAGTCCCTATTATTGTTCGGTGAYATTTAGAAAGAGTATATTGCATTTCACTGTACGTACTTTCTGTTTATMACTTTCATCAGCGCCATAGAAAGCAACTTTGTCCCATGTAGCAACATAAAGCCAGGTTGGAGTAAATCTTTTGAAGTTGATAAATGCACGTCTGATGTCGATAGAGGCGCGATATAACAAACCGTAATCAGTTGTTTCTCTGAACCAYACTTCACCACCATTTCTGGTATCAACATCTGCCCAAAACGGCGTWAGAAGACGTCGATTATCTCCAAGAGGAAAGGGATCGGGAGTGTACTGGGATACTGAAGCCAAAAATGATATGACTCCATTGGTGTTGACCTGTAATYGAATCATGCGTAAAACAAAGTCAACAAGAAGCTGTTGTTTGTACGAAGTGTACTCATTATCACAAATRAATAAGGGAACTTAAACACCGTGTAAAGAGGGAGTGAAACTGTACTACATGTGCAGTTACCATTATACAAYGAATACTAAGTTAACTGACTAGCCTGTGATCAAGAAATTGTCATTAACTAAATCCACATTAATAACAGTTTTACTAAATGAACACTTCCGCATCATTAGTCTCGTATAAATTAAACTCATGATTCAAGCGACTGATTAGCAAGCATAAAAAAATGATGGAATCTGTTGGCCGTTATCATAATATTAACCATTAATATTCTCCTAAAATAGTCAAAATGAAATGCAAAACAAAGCGTTTAGCASTCAAGCTCTTTATCTAGCAGCTTAGGTGATGCTAAGCACTGCAAGCTGTAGCTCGATAGTTATTTGTAATTAACGGTTATAATGTAGCGCCATAGCTCYGTTACCCTGCGAGCAGAGTCTCCTTTTAACTCCTCTACGGGCGAGAGAAGGAAAGGAGACTCTGCAGAAATCGTGTACAATTTTATTTGAGCATGCGCAGCGGTTGCTAAGAAACTAACTCGTTCACAAGCTCACTCGTTTTATAAATGGTTTCCGGTTCCTGTCCGAACACGAGTACCGTTTAAAACATGTTTTTAGAGTCATGACCTCAGTGAAAGATGATCTCGTGTTCTTCTTTCACTGCTTCAATTTCATCAAGCTTAGCAGTTTGAAGCACTATTTTTTCACAAGCGGAAATTTGGTCGCTCATCAGTGCCTGGAGCGGAGTTATTGCCACCAAAAGAGGATTTTAAGGGTATCGACTAGTGTTTGGATCGATTTCTTGAAGATGTTTGATCATCGGAGTTACAAGCTGGAAAATAAGTGACTTTGCATGACCTGTCGGCAGCGAAACAAACGGGTCTTTGGCATCCATAAAACTTTCTAGCGATTTCCTTTGATGAGTAATTGGTTGAAATTGATTTTTGTTTTGATAA